CCCCGCCCCGGGGCGGGCAGGCCGAGCCCCGCGGGGCGCGCGGGGCCGCCGGCGGAGCCGCGGCCGTCCCGGCGGGATGCGGGGCCGGTGGAACGGAGCGGGGCGATGGCGCCGGGTGTGCCCTGGGAGGCGGAGAGGTGCCGGGGCAGCGGGAGGCAGCGAGAGGCAGCGGGCGGCGGCAGCGGTGGCAGCGCTCCTCCCGGCGCTGCCTGCCGCTCTCCTGGGACGCCTCTGCCGGGAGAGACGGGGCAGGCGGGCGGGACGCGGAGTGTCCCGGGGGCTGCGGGGGTCGGCGCGGCCCCGTGGCCCAGGGGCGGCGCTGGGGCGAGCGGGGCGCGGGCGGGCAGGGGAGCCGCCTGCTGCCCTCGCACATGCGCAGCGCGGGCCCGGCGCGCTATATAGCGGGTTGGCGCCGGCGCCAGCTGAGCAGTGCGGCCCGGGCGGCAGCGGCAGAGGTGCGCGGGGGATCGTCGGGAGGGACGGGGGATGACTGGCGTGGCGATAATAATGATGGTGATGGTGATTAGAATGGTGGTGATGATGGTAGTAGTGGTGGTGCCGGTGTTGGGGGGTATCAGGGGCGCACTGGCGGCGGCGCGGGGCAGTGACTGGGATCGATGAGGCGGGAGCGGTGAGGCGGGAGCAGTGACCGGGAGCGGTAAAGCGGACTGCCTGCCCGCCCGCCCGGGCAGCGTTTTGGAGGGAGAGGGGCTGAGGAGGGCGGGCCAGGGGAGGATGTCCCCACGAGCGGCCCCATCCGCAGGGAGCCGTGAGCGGCGATGGCCCGGGCGGGTGCACCCGGTGGGAGCAGCGCAGGGTGCCGGGGTGATCCCGCCATCGGCTGTCCCCCGCACTTCATCGGAGAGCCCCGCGGGGGGCGGGCTGCCCGATTTTGGAGGGAGCCGGGCGCGCTGGGGGCGGGGATGCCGGCCGAGCCGCTTGGCGGGCTGACCCTGACCGCGCGCCCGCGCTGCACCCTGCCGGTCCCCGCTCCCCCGCCCCGGCCCTCGGAGTGGGGTGCCCGTGGGGACACCCCCTCACAGCCCCGGTCCCCGCCTCGGAGGGTCCCTGTGAGGGGTGTCCTGGCAGGGGGTGGGTGTCCCGCGTGTGAGGCGCCGTCCCGGCAGCCCCTTCCTTCCCCCTCAGGTTTTGGAGGGAGCCGCGCTCGCAGCCAGGCGGGAGCGCGGGGGGGGCGGGGCGGTGGCCCTGTCCCCTCACGCGTCCCCTCAGCCCCTTCAGGAGCGGGTGGGTGCTGGATCGGCCCCGCGGGAGGGGGAGCGCAGGAGGGTGGCGGTGCCCCCCGCCCCGCCTGATCCCGGCAAGGCCGCCGCCGCCGCCTCCCCGCTCGCTGGAAATTGGCGCGGAACCGGCGCGGCGGGAGCGCGGGCGGCGCCCGGCCCGGCCCGTCCCAGCGCGGCACCGCCAACCCGGCAGGTGTGGGGGGAATCCACCCGGGGGGAGCGGCAGCACCGGCAAAACCTATGTCTGTGGGGGTGCCTGGAATGGAAGGTGGGGAGGAGTGGAGGGGGTCACAGCCCCGTGGACCCCCAACATCCTCTTGTGTGGGAGATGTCCCTTTACAACTTACTCCACACCCCCATGCAGCCTGAGTCATACTGGCCACTGGCATACCTGGGCACTCTGCAGCAGGACATGGAGCTGTGTGCGCTTATATACCACAGTCATGCTCTGCTCAGGCATTCCTGAGACCACTAAAGTACTTGTGCCCTTCTGTTTGAGCTGTGTAAACCATGTTCCTTTTTGTAATGAGTTCATGATGCAAAGTAGGGAACTTGGTCTTAGTTTTGTGATGATACACTAACTGAGCTCATCTTATTCCTTTGATCCAGGTAGAGATCTTAAAACCCAAAGAAGATGTCAAGACGCAGGTAAGCTGTTTGTGTTGTGCCAAGATTATCTGTACTCATCCAACAACTGCTACTCTCCTAATGTCTAATGTCTTTTTGCTCTTTGCAGTAGCCGTTTGCAAGCTAAGCAGCAGCAGCCACTGTCCTGTCAAGAAGAGTCTCCACAAGAACTGAAAACACTAGATTATCTCCAGACCAGGAAAAGGAGAACAGCAGAGGTGACCTATTTGGGCAACTTGAAAAGTTTAATAATACTGAAAGTTCTGCAGTGCATTTGGATGGGACAGTCTTTACTCTGCCAAGTTATAAAGTGGGACAGGGTAGCAAGAGTTTGCCTGAGCTCTAGAGGTGGGTGTGCTGCTCACTGTCAGTGTATTGACGTGTGTCTCTTCTCAGCAGGAGATTAAGAAAAGAGAAGATGGAAAAATTGCCAAAAAACATCAATATGAGATTAAGGTAATTCAATCCTGATACCAGTTCAAACTAGGTGAGGGACTCCATGTGGTTTATGTTGATGGGTGTGAAATCATGCATTTGACACCAGAAAGTATTGAATAGGGGAAGTTTGTATCTTCAGATATTGAAAGCTGTGGGAGCTTAGCACCTCTTTATATGTTTTTGCCCTTTTTACATGTGACCTTGTTGCAGATAAAGGATCTTTCAATGTAAAAACCACTGCAGAGTAGGTTAGGTGTAAAAGAATAAATCCAGATATTTCAGAACAATTCCACATGCAGAGCAGGTAAGGCCTAGAGGCAAGTCTAAACAAGATCATTGCACTTGTTTTAACTTTAGGTGTGGTTTCACGGCCATTTAGTTGTCTCATAACCATGCAGGCTGTCTTTACTTTCATTTAACAGTTCTTTTGATTATTTAAATCAGTTTAGGACTCTGTCTTCACTGACACAGGCTACTCTTAAAATAAGCAAGGGGCTTTACAGACATTTATTTTAAAGCTGATTAGTAAAATAATATAAGTTTCTTTTGCAAACAATCTTCTTTGCAGTTTTTCTGTTTGTAAAGTAAATGAGACTTAACAGCTACGGTGAAGTGAAATTCTTCTGATTGTGGGGCTATCTTTGTAAACCTTGAGTAGGAAAAAATACTTTAAGTACATCAGCTGTACTTGGAGTGAAACTGTGTGTCACAACTTACCTTTGCTGAAAGGGGGAAATACTGCTTTCCTGTCTCCTTCCTGGATAGCTGACCATGCACTGCATCCCCTGCTTTGCTCTATTTTTGGTTCTCTTTGAATGAAGCAGTATGCAGGTTCAGTTAATGTTTTGCTAGGTTAGTGAGTTGAATCAACCCAGCAGAGGGTCTGACAAGCATCAAAGCTGACCAAAGAAGGAAGGGGTGGACTTGGGCAGTGAGGATCACAGGAGAGAAGGAGGAGTAGGACCTCCCTTTTCTCTGGGCTGCACCTTAAGGTCAATTCTGCTGGACTATGTAACTTCACTCTTGGGATACTGAAGTCTGGCTATAAATAGGTTTGGATATACTAAGGGAATCCTGTGTAGTTTACCTTGCAAGTCAACTATATAGGAAAAGTTTCTGTGTTCAGAGGCTGTTGTTGCCATTCTTTATGAATGAGATTTCTCCCCCAACTCCACACAATTTAAGTTCTGTGTCACCATTTTGAAGGCTGTCAGCCATTACAACATTGCATGTGCTCCTTGGATTTGATATCTCCTTACTTGTATTGGTTATGTAGAGCCAAATAAGCGTTAGTGAAACAGGTTATAGTTAACTACAGTAATCTAAAATTCCTTCTCTGAGGCTTTCTGCATGAATACCTTTGCACTTCTTTCCTTTTGAGTCATTGCATCCCATATTTGGCATTGGCAGGCTGAGAGATATTAACAGCTGCTGCTTGCTTAGTGGGTATCTAGCTCTGGAGCTGAGATGGGTGGCTCCTCTCTGGAGCACTTAATTGGAAGATAACAAGTTGCTGAATTTCCACTGAGAAACAGTAGAACCTAGACCCTCTCCTTTCTTTTCCCTCTGAGTAGATAAGTAGATAGGACTAGCAACCTGCAGTCTTGTGTTTTAGTACCAATGAGTATCTTTGCCTTTTGTACTGTAACTGAGCAACTCAAGCAACAAATAGGTTACTTGTGGGTTCATGAACTAAAGACGGTTGTCTCTGTCAAAGCTGAGTTCCCTAAATCCATCAAATCTGTTTATACATGTTCCCTCTTTACTGTGAAAGGTTTTATTGGCATTTGATTTGTCTTTCTTAGTTTCGGTGCCTGAATTGATGCTGAGATCCAAAAAGACTAACATACTTTACATATATTGCTGTTACTATAATCTACTTCATGCCTTTCTTACTCTCACAGTAAAACCAGCATTTTAAAGATACCTTGTTTGTTTTGCAGAGTTGTTGGCCGCCCACGATAACTGGAGGCATCTCGCCTTGCATAATTATTGAAACACCTCACAAAGAATCAGTGACCACTGACTTCTCAAGATTCAAAAAGTACAGGTTCAGTAACCTCTTCATAAATCCATCGCCTTTGCCTGAACTCAAGTAAGTTTACCGGATGCAGCAGTTGTTGATGTTTTATCAAATATGCTGAACTACTGCAATAAAATCTGTTGCATTGTGCTTGTATAATACACACCTCTGCTTGTCTCCTCATTCCACAAAAAATTCAATGTCACAAAAAAAAAAAAAATTTTGGTCATTGTTTTTTTTTTTTCCTGATCTTATCTTACCAGACAGATAATTTTCATCTTTCGAAGCTGTCCTTTTATAACTTAACACTGGAGACTCCAAGTGGTTAAGAGGCACATAATGGTTAAACTGAACTTCTTTCAGTACTATTAGAACTGAGTGATCAAAAAATATGAAGCAGAATTTTCACTAAGAACTTTAAAATGTTCACGTAAACTTGTGGCAATATCACAAGTAGCTTGCTAATGCAGTGCAGTATGCTTAGTGCAGTCACAATTCTAGAAAGCTTCCCTTCTACAGAGGCGTAGATTATATGACTAAATCATAGTTTTCAGTTTCAGAATTTCTTAGACATTCAGGTGTGTTAGATGAGTATCAGCTGCTATTTGTATCAGCCTGGGGTTTAATGAAAAAGGTGATAAATTTACTGCAATGCATTAGGGAAAACTTCTGCTGAGGTGAATGAGAAAAGAAGCAGAATGTGAAGCATTACTTTAGGAGAACCTTTCTAGATACACCTTGGTTTTTTTTGTTCTGGCCAAAACTTGATCAGAACTGGGAGATGCTGCCTAGTGATGTTTTGCCTCAAAGACATGGTCAGATACAGAATTCCATGCAAGGTGTTTAATCCTCTTGTTGATAGGCATCTGGTAAAGCTGACCTCCATTCTTTCTGACTAGCTGAATAAGAGGATAATTTACTTTTCCTGACTTCTTCACGCTTCCCTAATTGCTGTAGGAAGATCGTAATTGATTTCTCAATGCTCGCTTGATTAAATTGGGGGACTTGTGCATTAAACAAACAAGTATCTCTCCAGCTTTTAACTTACGATATCAGAATGAAACTGATGTGGTTTAGAATTTGTAGGCAATGCCCTACAAATCAGCTCTGTCTCTCTACTTCTGCTTGGGGAAAGGTAAATATAAAGCTCCGAAAATTTCAGTAGGAAGTCATAATTTCACTGGTTAACACGCTGTCCCTCTTAGTACCTGCAGCATGAGAAGTACATCTAAGAAAAAGCCCGTATCAATTAATAACAAATACAAAGAAACCATATTGATGATATGGGCATCATCTTCCCAAGTAGACCGGAGTGCTAATAAATGTTAGCAATAAACAGGAACTCAGTTTTCCTCTCAGTAGCCTGCTTCTGAGCCTTGAAGTAGGCTAGGCAATAAAGGGATGGATGAGTGACTTTTAAGTATCATCTGTAAATGTTTTTCTCACATGAAGTTGGTCCAGCTTAGTTTATGTCTTCTCTTTCTTGGGGAGGGGATGTGTTGCCTTTTTTTATGGGGGAGGGTTTGCTTTTATCTCGCTCTTTGAACAGCAACCCAACTAGGCAAAATAGGAAACTACCTGCATGTGCAACTTTGGGAGGTACATGTTCAGTTTTAATGTCTGTTCTATAGAACTGGACTTGCTGATGATCTTAGCAGACTGCTGTTGTGGTGATGTAAAATATCTCAAGTATACCTGCAGTTTTGCGATTACCATAAAGATCTTGTAGTATGTGGAATTTTTGTTTCTGAATGTCTGTAAACAATAGTGTTTTTATTCTCCTTTTGTGAACTGAATACATACTTGATAATGCTTTGTGTAATTCTATTCCATAGCTGGGGAAACTCCAAAGATATCTGGCTGAACATCCTGATGAAGGAGAACAGATATGCTCACTGCAAACACTTCACGTCACTACATTCCAGTTTGCAGCCTCATATGAGATCGATACTGTTGGACTGGCTCTTGGAGGTGTGTTCTTTTAGCTACTTTGCCATGTGTTGTGCCTGTGAAGTAGGCAGGTAGAAGTACAGCTTTTATATAAATATCTAATAGCAACACATTCTGTTATGAAAAAATGGCAAAACTATTTTGCAACAGAACCAGTGACTGCTTCTGATCCCCTTGGTGAGCTACATCCAGGCCTTCCCTGGCAGGAGATGCTGAATGTTCCACACAGGACAGTGAGCAATAGTACTTAACTTTTACCCTTGCCATACTACTTCTTGCAATGGAGAGAAATCTAATTTTGAGACTTGTAGTGAAATTGCTGTAGACAGACCAGGT